ATAAATATGATATGGAAAAGGTCTTGTTAAGTATGACAAGTAAGTAGAAACTCAAGTACAGTCTAGGCCAGGGGCTAAGAGCACAGGTTTTGGAAGCAAAAACCTCGGCTGAAATCCTGGTTCCACACATATACTAGCTTTATGATCTTGAAAAAGTCACTTAATCTATATAAGCTTCAGTTTCCTCATCTATAAATTATACCTTCCTTGTAGGCTGAATAAAGAAAAGAATTTTATGTTGAGGAGTATTCGGGAAGAATGTAAATCAAAAGAATATAAATAAAATGAAAGTAGTGATTATTTCTAAGTGACAGAATTATGGGTGAATATTTTTGCCCTCTTTTTCTATTTTCTGTAGAAAAATATTTCTATTTTTATAGTTTCTACAGTGAATTAAAATGTTGTTTCTCTGAGTGTGAGCACAGCATTGCAATTACAATTACATACTCTGGAGTTGGACTTCTTAGGTTCTAGTTACTTGTTAGCTGTGTGAGCTTGGACAGGCAACTTAGCCTCTATTTCAGTTTCCTCATCCATAAAATGGAGATAATATTATTTACATTATAGATTTAAATTGAGTAATAAAGGTGAAATGATTAGAATAGTACCCAGCAGATACTGTTACATGATGTTTTTAAATATTATTAACATAGTTTAATGTGGGTGTCAGCAGACTATGACCAGTGGCCAGGTACCTATGAGCTAAAAGTTTTTACATTTTTTATTTTATTTTATTTTATTTTATTTTATTTTATTTTATTTTTATTTTTATTTCTAGGAGAGAGAGAGAGAGACAGTGTGAGCAGGGGAGGGTCAGAGAGAGAGGGAGTCACAGACTGAAACAGGCTCCAGGCTCTGAGCTGGCAGTCATCACAGAGCCCGATGCGGGGCTCGAACCCACGAACTGCGAGATCATGACCTAAGTGAAAGTCGGACACTTAACTGACTAAGCCACCCAGGCGCCCCTTTACATTTTTTAAAGGGTTGTGAAAAAAGAAAGAAAAAAGAAGAATGTGCAAAAAAAATAGTATATGGTCCATAAAGCCCAACATATTTACTATCTGGCTCTTTACAGAAAAGTTTGTTGACCATTGGCTTAATTTGTTTCCACTTTCAAATATGTTTAGGATTTATGGGCACCTGGGTAGCTCAGTCAGTTGAGTATCTTACTTTTGATTTTGGCTCAGGTCATGATGACAGGGTGATGGGATCAACCCCTGTGTTGGTCTCTGTGCTGAGTGTAGAACTGGCTGGCAGTTCTCTCTCCTTCTGCTACTTTCCTCCATCTCCTGCTTGTGTGTGCATGCTCTCTCTCTCAAGCAAATAAAAATTAAATTTAGAAAATATGTTTAGCATTTAAAATCACCATGCTATAAATACCAAGGAATAAATTTCTAAAGGGGGAATTTCAAGAAATACTGTAAAAAGGAAATTAGACAGTTATGGACAAGGAAGATTTTATTCTATTTTGTGAATGTTTGCTCCTCTCCTCTGTATAGATCACTATTTTCTACCATTGATTAAGAATCAAAATTGAAATGAACGCATGGTACTATAGGATCAAACAACCCAAAAGGTACTTAAACTCATCAGGCTGAATGAAATTGAGGCTGAATGGGATCTCAAATGATTATGGTGTTTCACTTGGCCAACTCTGTCCTCCTGATGGTAGTAATCTAACTGTGGGAATCTAGGATCATATCATGTCTGGAATCAGCAAATTTGCTAGACTTAGTATCCAGTTCCTTGCCACAGACTCTTGCGGTAATGAGTGTGGGAGTAGGAAGGCTGACTCAAGAAGTCTCTCTAGACCCCAGTTAGGGACAATTCAGAGAAAGTAAGTTGCCACCAGTTAAATCTTTAGATTTCAAAAGGAATCCAAAGTTGTTAAAAAGCAACTGTTTTGAAAAAAAGGGGAGGGATTAAGCTAAGCTTTTTGTTTTGTTTTTATGGTTTTTTTTGTTGTTGTTATTGTTGTTGTTACTTGCAAACAGAAAGAGTGTTAACCTGTGGTTATCAGGATAACTTTACTGCTTTACTCAGCAGTAAGCAATTTGTAGCCTTTTCATGTGTTTTCATAAGCATACAAAATGACCTCAGGCAAGAGGCTGGGAGAAGAGACCTGATGTTTCTCTGAGGACCTTCAAACTACACTGGTAGGTCTGTCTAGGAAGCTGCTGTGGGGTGGGGATGGCATTTGTCTACCGAATCCAGGAGTCTGGGTATTGCTATAGTGGGTGGAGGGTGGAACACTGAAGGGCTACGTTCATTCTGACCTTAATTGAGTCTGCTGAGATTCAAACATGACAGGTCAACCAAGGGGCTGTAAATTTGCTGAAAGTCTATTTGCATGAAAAACTAAGGACACTTCCTGGGCAGAGTGGGTCATGGAGGCACTTCTGACACAGGAAAAAAAATTAGTTACAAAAGGGCAGATGTGCTTCTGAATATAGCAGAGATTCTGTGCCCAGACTTGACTTTCAGCTGATCCCGTGTTAAGTCCCGTTTCAGGAGGCAGGGCTCCAGAGTCCATGCTTTCCCCTGCAACAGAGTTTTGGATGAATAAAAGGGGGGAGAAGATGCTCCGATACAGACTTAACAACCTTTTCTTGTCTCAAGTAAAGTAATTTAAAAACATATATACCATCTAATATTACCATAGTTTCAAAAAAGAAAATTTTAAAATATATAACAAAACAAATTTAACTTAAAAATTGAATTACTTTTAGACTATAAAAAATCGGAAAGTTGATAACTTTAGAACAGTTTCTAGTAAGACAGAACAGGGACTGGACTCGGGTCTCCTCACCCCTGACCATGAACTCTATCTTTCCTTGAAACTCTGTTTCTTGTGTAGCATTTCTCGGAGGTTGTGGAAGCAAGATGATGACGTAAAGAGACTAAACTATGAACATTGCCAAAGACGTAACCAAACTAGTCTGTGCCCAGGTAGAGCCTACTGCTTACTTTTCACCAACTTTCCCTCTCATTATACAACTAAAACTCATGCCCATGGGTGGAAATTTAACATGCTAATTAGACATGCAACATGTGGAAAAGCACAATTTTTAAGTGCACAGACGCCAAGAAATCCCCGCCTTTACATGCTTCAACGTCATTCCTTTCCCTGCTTGGCCTCTTTAAAAACTTGCCCTGGCCTATGTTAGGGGAATCAGCCTGAAAGACTCTTTACTTTGTATTGTTTCTCTTGTGCTCCAGAATAAGCTCCAATAAAAAGCTTTGCCTAGAACTCGCTTTTGGTCTCTAGTCAATTTCTACTGTTTAGATAGCCCATGGACCCAGTGGGTGACACTAGGAAAAACTCCACTCCACCATGTTGTAACTACTTACCCCCTTTCTTTTCCGTTTCTTCATCATTGCTTACTCCCTGCCTTTGGTCTTCTATAGTGTTTCCAATCACATTTTTTTCTTCTTAATTACATCAACTTAGTAGGGCATGGATCAGCTATGGTCTGGGGTAGGGGGTAGGTGGGGAAGGCATGTAGAGCAGCAGACACTCAGGCTGAGGGTGAGACCTATCACTGTAAATAAGGTCCAGGATGGCAGCGGCTTTGTCTTGTCTTGTTTTCCTCTGTATGCTACCTCCCCCACCATCCTGAAAACAAGGCCTGAAATGTACAGGTGTTCAATTAATGTTCGCTGAACCAAAGAATGAAATACAGGCAGGGTATATATGGGTTATAGTGTAATACACCACTAATGAAATTTGGTAGTAGGTCACTGCTTTTACTGGAGGTAATTACAATATTTCACAAATCACTAAATATTAAACCTCTTTGCAGAAATCTGAAAAGGAAAAAAAATTGATAATACACCATCCTAACCCAACCATCATTACACTTTTGTTGCTACTCTTCTTACTGTTTTACAATATGCATTTAAAATGTATTTGTAATCAGAAAATTTTGGATAGGAAATACGTCACTTATTTTCAAAAGAATCAATCTCCTATACCACAGGTATCACTAAAATCAAACGTAAGTGCTGCTGTCTAAGTCGGTCTGAAATAACCTTTGATAATATAAGGAAGTGTGAGCAGTATAAATCATAGAAGACTTACTGGTTAAGGAAGTATAACACATGCATTCACTTGCTTCTACTGTGTTTCAATATTTCATCTGCAAAATGAGAGGATTCATAATTACAGATTCATAGTTTCTAAAGTCTTCTTAAAATCTGAAGTTTAATGATTCCTAAAAAAATTTTTATTGGGGTGCCTGGGTGGCTCAGTCGGTTGAGCGACGTACTTCGGTCCAGGTCATGATCTCACGTTTCGTGGGTTCGAGCCCTGCATCAGGCTCTGTGCTGACAGCTAGCTCAGAGCCAGGAAACTGCTTTGGATTCTGTGTTCCCTCTCTCTCTGACCCTCCCCTGCTCACGCTACCTCTCTCTCTCTCTCTCAGAAAAAAATAAAACATTAAAAAAAACTTTTAAAAATAGATTTTGTTTTACGTTGATTGTAAAGAGCCTTAAAAATATATTTATACTATGCATAATTTATTCATATAAATTTATATATTTATATATAATAGTAAATATTAACTCAGATATGAGAGATCCTTCCATGCAGAAATAGATTTTAGAAACTCACATAAAGAGACTATTTCTAACATTTCAGGACTACTCTAATATCTGGAGGGACACCGGTAAGTAATTTCACCAAAAAGACTGATTATTGGTAAAGTCCCAGAGGCAAATCTTTACCCTTATAAACCAATAAAACAAAATTAATCCAAAACAAAGTGACAACATACCAGCTAAGAGTAATCTAAGGGATAGAGTGAGGATAAAACATTAATTGGTGCGGAAATGGGATAAAGATTTATCATATGCCCCTACACAGAGTAGGGTAGAGCAGGAAATTCTTCCCTGTAGGGAATTCAGGATCAACCCTCTCGCCCAGTTTCTGTTTTTCTAAAGACCAAATCACTTCCCCTGGAAGGTAACTTGGCGGCTTGATTATTTCATTAATTTAGGTCTTTTGGAGACAACAGAATTGATTTGAAATGAAGTTTAATCTCCAGTGCTACTATCCCCAGGTAAGTGAAATTGACAGGACTAGGAAGGATTAAGACAATGCCATCAAAGATGGCAAAAAAGCATCTGCTGTGGAGATTTTCTGTTGTTGTTATGATTATTATTTCTGTTGAAACTTTACATAGCCTAAACCAGTCACAGTTTCAGAAGAAGCATGGGTAATCTGTGCTGCAAGCAGTTAACTAGAAGTATGTCAGAACTGCTTCCCAGCCTGAAAGCTGAAGCTGAATTCGGATTTAGAAGCCACACTAGAGGATTTCCAAGGTGCTCAAGAAAGACCATCTGGGACTCTTTAGGAGGCCGTATCGCACGTGTCTTCTGCCGAGATGTTGACCCGCATGTGTTAACCATATTAATAAGCGTAATCACCCTATCAGGCTGCAATTCATGTATATATAATAGTGGTTTTCCTACCACAAGTCGCCAGCAGGCAATGGATCCCTGCAGACACTTCGGGAAAGCCCCGGGTCCCGCCTTCTTCCAAAACTAGCCTGAAAGCTTGTGCCCCGCGCTCACTACGGTCTCTTGCCGCCCCCTGCTGGGCTCTTCGCTTGGGCTTTACGCAGCGCGGCCGTCGGGGGGCGCAAAGACGGCGACGTCACCTGTAAGCGACCGGAAGTTAGTCCTGTTCATTTCCGCCACTTGGTCCCGCCTCAGACCCGGTAGTAAAGGCATCTGCTGCATGTTGATACAGTCCAGTTTGAGGTCTGTGGATAGCTGCGCCTGTGCGTTTTCTTTCTAATTTTTTTAAACGTTTTATTTATTTCAGAGAGAGAGACAGACAGCGTGAGAAGGGGAGGGTCGGAGAGAGAGGGAGACAGAATCTGAAACAGGCTCCAGGCTCTGAGCTGGCTGTCAGCACAGAGCGTGATGGGGGGCTCGAACCCACGAACCGTGAGATCATGACCTGAGCCGAAGTCCGCCGCCCAGCCGACTGAGCCACCCAGGCGCCCCCAATGCGTTTTCTTTCTAAAAGCGGGTTTGTGTTATATTGATGTACAGTGGAGTCCTTTTCCCTCGTAGCCGCTAGGCGAGTTGGTTTTGGGAAGGAAGAGGGGAAGAACCCATGGAATGGAATCCTTGGAATTATCACAATTAGCTGCAGTTAGATAGTAAGAACTTGTGAGAGAGCTTGGCTTTTTCCCGATTTTAAAATTTTAGGATAATGCCTTTCAAGTTGTGGGGTTGAAGAAAGACCATGTACGTGAAGCACTTAGCTCTAGTTTTACAAATCATATTCGGGATTGTGCAACCTTCTCCCATTAATACTGAGGCGTGTGTTCGCCGTTTTCTTTTCGTATCTCAGATGCCTAGTAGGTAGGAGGTTATTCATTTCACAGTGTTCTGCAGTATTAGCTGGGATCGATTTCTTTACTCTGTATTACGAAGTGCTTACAATATTTTGTCCCATCCCACTTTATTTATTTATTTATTTATTTGCCGTTTTTAGGGACAGCTGCTTTCTAGCGCTTCTGGAGAAATGCAAAGTCCTCTCTCTTTAAGACAAACGAGGTGAGAAATGGATACCTATAAAAGATCTCCAAACTTCCCTTGTTTTATCAAAAGAAGACCATCTGGAATGTTGTACCTTGAGGGCATTGATTAACCATCTTCATTAAAAGTCCCTTTATTGGTGTATTTGTTAATTTTCGACTTTGGCCCTTGGAATAATGGTTTTAGTTAATTACAGACAGCAAATTGAGAGACATTGAAGTTAATTATGAAATATTAAGTAGTTTTTAATTTATCTGGTTGTAAATTTAATTTTTTTAAAAATTTTATTTTAATGTTTATTTCTGAGAGAAAGAACACAGCAGGGGGAGGGGCAGAGAGAGATGAAGAAGTGGAAACGGAAGCAGGCTCCAGGCTGAGTGGTCAGCACAGAGCCCCAAGCGGGGCTCAAACCCACAAACCGTGAGATTATGAACTGAGCCAAAGTCAGACGCTTAACTGACTGAGCCACCCAGGCACCTCTGAATTTAATTTGTTTTTAATACTGGTTGCAAAATAACATTTATAAAATATCACAGTATTTCAGAAACAGTACATAGACCCCTTTAAACTCTCAGAGATAACTGTCAACTACCTCCCCCCCCGTACATGTTTATGTCTTCCCCCTTTCTATGAGTGATATTATTTTATCCATATAGTTATACAGTTTGCCACTTAGTATATCTTGGATATCTTTCTATTGTGTTATGCCTTTTTTTTTTTTTTTAAATAACTGGGTTGTGTAGTATTATGTTACATAGATGTATCACTATTAACCATTCTACTGTCGGTGGCTATTTGGGCTTCTTTTTTGCTATAGCAAATAATGTTAGGAAGGTCATCTTTTTATTTTTATTTTTAAAAATTTTTTTAAATGTTTTATTTATTTTTAGGAGAGAGAGAGAGAGACAGTGTGAGCAGGGGAGGGTCAGAGAGAGAGGGAGTCACAGACTGAAACAGGCTCCAGGCTCTGAGCTGGCAGTCAGCACAGAGCCCGACGCGGGGCTCGAACCCAAGAACCGAGAGATCATGACCTAAGCGAAAGTCGGACGCTTAACCGACTAAGCCACCCAGGCGCCCCTGATGGTCATCTTTTTAAATATCAATTCGTCCTTTTCTTTCCTTTGGATAATCTTAAGTGAAAATACTGGGTTAAAGGATATGGCAGATGGTGCCAAATTCCTTTCCAGTAGTGGCATTTGCAGAGAATTTCCTGTATTTCTTCAAATGCTCATCAGCAGTTGATATTAGGTACCATTGTTTTTAGGCTTAACTGAGACCATTCATACCATTTTTTCCGTCAGTATATTGTATTTATAGTATTGTAGTCAAATCCAAATTTTAGTTGTCAGTTCTAAGTCCAGTTCAGTTCTTTTTTAAAATTTATAAATAGAATACCTAGTTGTAGATTCTTTGGTAATAAGTTATTAAAAAGCAATTCACTTCAGCAGTAAGTTTTTGTTAAGTTAAAGACTTGTGGGAAGCTAGTATTTGAAAGAGACCTTATACTATGGATAGACATTAGGAGAATGGGCCTTTCTGAAAGAATATCTTCCACAAAGGCAGAGAGACAAGAATGGCCAAGAATGTTTAGGATTTGAGGTTTGAGAGGTGATAGTGCCTGGTTGTGAGGTTGTAGAATAGAACAGACAGCTAGAAAGGTAGTTGGAATTCTGTGGTGAGGGTTTTTTTAAAACATTAATTTTGTTTTTATTTATTGTTGAGAGAGAGAACTTGGGGGAAGGTCAGAGAGAGTGGGAGACAGAGGATCCAAAGTGGCTTCTGTGCCGACTGCAGAGTCCAGTGCAGCGCTCAAATTCACCAATTGTGAAATTATGACCTGAGCCTAAATCAGATGCTCAACCAAGTGAGCCACCCAGGCACCCTGTGTGGTGATAGTATTGAAAGTCAGTCTGAAGATGTTGTTTTCTAGGAGAGAACTATAGATGTCTTTAATCAGGGAATAGGGAATGTAATCACTTTTTTGTTTGCCAAGTATACTATGCTGGCATTTTTGCATGAGTGATATTCGAGAAGCAAGTTAGGTGGCTGTTACAGTCTGGATGAGAAAAAATAGCAAAGAGTTGAGATACTAAAGAAGATACTGAGGGAGCTGAATCTACATGATTCAGTGACTGGGGGTTGAGGAAGAGGAAGAAAGCAATCACTTTTAGATTTTTATCATGAGTGACAGGATAGTGGTAATGATTTCATTAACCAGAGAGGGCTAGTTTGGGTCTGGGAAAGATGTTCAGTTTAGTTTTAGACACATTAATTCATGTGAAAGATATTTCTATGGAGAGCAACTTACACACAAGACATAAAATTCACCTTCACAGATTCAGAAGAAACCTTAGTAGATTTGTGACACCTTTGTTAAGAAATTTGGCGTATATTTTCACTGTTAGTCTTTTATTAGTACAGTTGCTCTTGAACTTTCTGTGTCTTGCTCAGCCTGTTTGTCATGGTGCTAATCATCTCAAGAGTTTATTGTTTAGAGTGGTTGTCTTCAGATTTTTGTTTATATATACTCTCAGTAAAAATGGTTTATACATGTACTTCCAATGTACGTATATTTACTAATTATATACATTTTTACAATATTGTTATATATAAAACATATATAAAAAGGAATTTTTAAAAGGCTAAGACAAATTTAAAATGGGGTTTTACTGTTTTCTTCCTATATCCCATTGGATCACCTTGCATCCCTCATTCCAAAATACAGGTCTTATCTACTACTGTCAGTGTTCTGTACCATTATCCAGTGGAGGTCACCCTTGAGCATCTGGAAGAGAGAACAGACTGTTGCACTGTGCAAGAAGAGCCTTCTTTAGTTAGAAGGAGGATCTTATTTTTGAGTTTCTAAATTCATGCATTTTAGGAAGAGTCTGTAGTTAAAGAGTAGGATGTGGTATTATGGAGAAGTAAAGAATAGTGAACTCAAAGTACAGGGCAATCTAAAATATGCTGTTGTTAGGGCACCTGGGTGGCTTAGTCGGTTTAGCATCTGACTTTAGCATCTGACTCTTGATCTCAGCTCAGGTCATGATCTCACAGTTTGTGAGTTCAGGACACATGTCGGGCTCCACGCTGACAGTGTGGGGTCTGCTTGGGATTCTCTGTCTCTCTCTCTCTGCCTCTCTTTCTCTCTCAAAAATAAAGAAATAAATATTTACAATGTGCTGTTATTGTTTGATGTTTATTTTGTGAGTATCCTATGTTTTTGTTTGAATGTTATTTGAATCTACATTTTGGGAATCTTTTTCTAATTCTTTGAGCATCTATAGATTACTCCTGAGATACAGGAGTGTTCCCTGACTGAAGACATAATCTTAAATTCTTGTTAAATTGGTGTAATTCAAAGGGTAGACACAGGCTTTTTTTTTTTTTTTTTTTTAACATTTATTTTTGAGAGAGAGAGAGAGACAGAGACAGAGCATAAGCAGGGGAGGGACAGGGAGAGAGGGAGACACAGAACCTGATGCAGGCTCCAGGCTCTGAGCTGTCAGCACACAGCCCGACACGGGGCTCGAACCCATGAACCGGAGATCATGACCTGAGCTGAAGTCAGACATTCAACCAACTGAGCCACTCAGGCACCCTGAAGCTTTCTTTGATACTCACCTTGAAAGCAGTATCTCTGAAGCCTAGAGATATTAGTGGTGAGTTGGAACCATCTATCTCTGTTTTTTATTTTATGTTTAATTAGAAGTGAGAAAGGAAATACCTCCTTTATGTGATAAGAGCCTATTATTAGTAATTAGAAATTAAGAATTAAGTTTGTCACAGCTGTATAATCTAAAAAGCAAAAAGTAGGGACGTCTGCGTGGTTTTGTTGGTTAAGTGTCTGAAGTCTTGATTTTGGCTCAGGTTGTGCTCATGGTTTGTGAGATTGAGCCCTGTTTTGGGCTCTGCGCTGACAGTGCAGAGCCTCCTTGGGATTCTCTCTGTCCCTCTCTCTCTGCTCCTCCCCTGCTTGTGCTCTCTCTCTTGCTCCTTCTCAAAATAAATAAACTAAAAAATAAAAAGGAGAAAGTACAATTAAAAATATATGTATGGTGTCATGACTTAGGCCACAATTAGCTTAAGAACATAAATCATCTGACAAATTGAGTAACAGAAGAAAAATTTTCTGTTGCTTTCCTGATAAAATATTTCCTATAAATAGAAATAACTTATTTTAGTAGAGACCTAAGGTTACTTTATATAAATTCATAATTTTTTGCTCCATTTCTAAATGATTAGGAAAGTGAGTTATTGAAGTTTTGTTCACTTGCCTGAAGTTATGTGTTGTGAAATAGATGCAAAGAGCCCTGGGTTCATCTTTTATAATGTAGGGTGGAGGAGGATGGTAAAAGTAACTTTTTAATGCTTATGTGCTCTCAGCACAGTTCCACAATTGGTGGAAGTAGATCATTTTGAATATAAAAATTGCTTTGGAGTAATCGGGTTACCAAGGGGGCAATAGGGTAAACTGAAGGAGACTGAGATTCAGAACTGTTGACCAGAGGTCCATATAAAGCTAACAATTAAGACTAATGATACCATGGGTTTAAAGAGAACTATGAATCTAGTAAAAGATGTTTAAGGTGGAAATTAGTCTGAAGGGTTGGTTTTCAGAACTAGGAAGAGAGAACAGGAGCAAAGGAGTCGGGTATCTGTGGGCCAAAAATCTTGGAAGTTGAAAGACAAGACAGAATTGAAAGCATAGTTAGCAGGAAGAAACCAAAGCTTGAAAACCAGGATAAAGCAGAGCTAGAGAGGGACAACTGTTTTTGGGTAACAAATGTTTTTGGGTAGCAAATGTAGGCAAGGCCAAATACAATGAGCAAGATAAAGGAAGGAATAATTCTGGGGCATTGATGATGCTATACTTCTTTTCTTCACATTAAGATGGAAGCAGCCCCAGGCCCACAGATAATCAGAAGCAGTGACCGAGAGACTGGGAATGCAGTAGCTGAACTGTTACTGCAGCACCAGGAAAGCTGGAGCTATAGATGTTTTTTAGAGAAAAGACCATGATGCTTATAGGATCATAATGTGATTTTTAAGCTGTTTAACACATGCATTTGTATAATATTATGTATGTTGTTTTACACAGCATTCCAAAAGGTTTGCGATACATGACCATTATGGCACCAAGAAACTTCTTGTGTATGAGAAGTAATTTTCTCTTTGGTTCAAGATGTTGGATGATCCGATTTTCTGCAAAAATCCTCTTTAAATTAGTTTCATTTAGGCTTTATAGTGTAAAGTGTGGTAATGCAGACAGTGAGTCTTCGGAGAATGAAGAACTACTGAATAATCTACTTAAAATGGGAGTAGATGTTGACATGGCAAAAAAACGACAGCCTGGAGTTTTTAATAGGATGGGAACTAAAGAGCAAGACCTGAAGATGTTCCTTCTATCCAAAGGTGCTAGCAAAGAAGTGATTGCTAGCATTATAACAAGATATCCACGAGCCATTACACGCACACCTGAAAGTCTTTCAGAACGGTGGGATCTGTGGAGAAGAATTATGACATCAGACCTTGAAATTATAACTATCTTGGAACGTTCTCCTGAATCTTTTTTTCGATCCAGAAACAACCTAAACTTAGAAAATAATATAAAGTTCCTCTACTCAGTTGGATTGACCCATAAATGCCTTTGTCGATTGTTGACCAATGCCCCACGTACCTTCTCCAATAGTCTAGATCTGAATAAACAGATGATTGAATTTTTACAAGAAGTCTGTTTGTCATTAGGTCACAATAAGCCCAGAGATTTTGTTGGGAAGATAATTTTTAAAAACCCTTTCATCTTAATTCAGAGTACCAAACGGGTGAAAACTAACATTGAGTTTTTACAGTCAACTTTCAACTTGAACAATGAGCAGCTGCTCATTCTGCTGTGTGGTCCGGGAGCTAAAATTCTCGACCTTTCCAATGACTATGTCCACAGAAACTACACAAATATCAAAGAGAAGCTGTTTTCTTTGGGGTGTACTGAAGAAGAGGTACACAGGTTTATCATAAGCTATCCAGATATGGTCTTCTTGGGAGAGAAAAAGTTTAATGATAAAATAGACTGCCTCATAGAAGAAAAAATTAGCATATCACAAATAATTGAAAATCCTCGGATTTTGGATTCAAGCATAAGTACTTTAAAAAGTCGAATCAAAGAATTGGTAAATGCTGGCTATAATTTCAGTACATCAAACATTAGTCTTTTATCTTGGAGTCAAAAAAGATATAAAGCTAAATTGAAAAAGTTAAACACTGAATAGAACATTGTTCTGGGGAATTAAAAAGTGACTTACAATGTAATGATCCCTCATTTTGAATTTGGGCCTTTCAAAAAGGAGAAGTTTGGTTTCTTAACCATATATATATATCCTTTGGATATTTTACTGTAAAGGTTTGTAAAAACTCATGATCAGTATGCTCTAGTATAGTCTTTCCAGTTACCTTTTCTCTAGTTTGAATTAATACAACATCCAATTATATGATACAGGCTGTGACTGTCTTATAAGTGGTAATTCCTGAGTACAGGACAGAACAATATGTGGAAAGATAAAAAGTACAAAATAAGCTTTTGGTTTCTATTCAGATTAAAAAGTCAACAGTTATTTGGATAGTTCTGTTTCCTCTCAGGGAGGGTTTAGGATGGCAACTGATTTCTCCTATTGTTCCCACATAGCTAATTATGGTTCATCTTCAAAATAAAATGCCAATAAAAATCTGACAAACCAGAAAAGAGGGGTTTTCATCTCAAGTTCTACATTCTCCATTTAAACCATTAGTATGTTCCCCCTACCTCCCAACTTGGGCTCAATTTACTATGGGTATATCCTGATTTCTTTGAAGTCAATGGCAACTATGATGGGCAGAAAAATGGCCACCCAAAGATGTCAATATCATAATTCCCAGAATCTGAATGTGTTATGTTACACTGGAAAAGGACTTTGCAAATGGCATTAAGTTATGGACCTTAAGACAGGGAGATTATCCCAGATTATCTGTGTGGGCCCAGTGTAATCATATGGGTCCTTCAAAATGGAAGAGGGATGTAATAGAGGAGGTCAGAGTGATGTGATGTAAGGACTTGACCCTATTTACTGGCTTTGAAGAAGGAAGGGACAATGAGCCAAAGAATGCAGGTGGCCTCAAAGAAAATGGAAAAGGCAAAGAAACATTCTCCGCTAGTTCCCTTAGAAAGGAACATAGCCCTGCTGGGACCTTGAGTTTAGCCCACTAAAACATGTGTCAAACTTCTGACATTCAGAACTATAATATAATCAATTTGTGTTTTTTTTTAAGCCATTGAGTTTGTGGTTGTTGTTACAGCAGCAAATAGATGAATATAGGAATTAAATGATATTAGTTCCATTATAGGTGAAGAAGTCACAAAATATGGTTCTTTTAGTATATCTGTGTTTCTTTCTCTTGTAATTAACCTTTTTTTTCCACATACCTTTCTGGAATGACAACTAAGTTACTGTTTGTGAAGATCTCTAAATATCTGTATAAAAAAACTAAATGTAAGTAATAAAGTCTAAATAAAGGAATATTTTTGCCTGATAATGTAGTTTAAAGAAATGGTTATAGTTTCTGTATATTTATGTTTTATGGGAATTTCATCTAATGTAAACAAAAGAACAAGGAAGTTTTCGATGCACTGACTTCAAATATAACCAAACCAGGTGATGTCAATGGCTCTAAGACATTCACAGTCTAGCTCTGACTTAAACTGAAAGAGAAGGGACAAATTATATGACCTTAGTTACTTTCCATTGTTTTCCAGAGGTATTTGTTTTCTAGATGTGAATTCTGAATTAAATAACAATGGTACTAAACCTCTTCAACCTTATTTCCTGTTAGTGATACCTCTAAAAAACCTTTCATGACACAGATAGAAACATATTGCTGTTTTTTCAAGGCCATTTGATATCAATGATACTTTTATCATAATTATTTCCAATACACTATTTTATGGCAAGCATGGCATGGTTAAGAAAAATGGGCTTTAGAGAGATACTTATTTAGAGTGATAAATCTGGGCATCATTCTTGACCAGCTCCACAACTTTATATAGATGTTTAAATTTCACTGAACTTGTTTTCTCAACTGTAAGATTAAAAATTGGCCTCACAGATGACAAAAATCAGATGATAGTCTCTAAGTCTTTTTGCAGATGGTAACTGTTCAATGATAATTGTAATAAAGTTTCAATAATATTTTTAAAAATAGCTTTCTTGATAAATAATTCACATAACAAGTCACCAATTTATACAGTTCAATATTTTTTTATACTCTAGAATTGTGTAATCATCACAATCTAATTTTTTAGGATATGTTTATGCCCCTAAAAGAAACCCTTTGCCTCTTAGCAGTAAATTCCCATTGTCCCTTCCCTTAAGTGGCCCTAAGCAACCAATGATCTACTCTCTGTCTCTCTAAATTTGTTTATTCTGGACATTTCATATAAATGGAATCATAGAATATGTGGTCTTTTGTGACTGGCTTCTTTCACTTAGTGTAATGTTTTCAAGTTTTGTCCATGTAGCACATAGCAGTATTTCATTACTTTTTATTCCCAAATAATATTCCATTGTATAGGTATTATTGGGAGTAAATATTATTGTTAACAAAGCATTGGTTCCCTATATCTTTTGAATTTTATGGAAGATTTTCTGAGGCTTTGCTTTGGAATCTAACAATAAGGAACCTGAGGGAAGTGGGTAGCAGAGGAGATAAACCTCTGCATCAAACCCAGACAGCTCCATGCACAAGAATGAAACTGGGCCACTCTCTTATACCATAAGCACAAATAAACTCTGAATGGATTAAAGACCTAAATGTGAGACCTAAAACCATTAACTTCCTGGAAGAAAACATAGGCAGTAATCTCTTGGACATCAGTCTCAACCATATATTTATGGATATATCTCTTCAGACAAGGAAGACAAAAGCAAAAATAAACTATCGGGATTTTACCCAAATAAAAAGGTTTTGTTAAATTTTTTAAATGTTTTATTTATTTCTGAGAGAGAGAGACAGCGTAAGCAGGAGTGGGTCAGAGAGAGGGAGATACAGAATCTGAAACAAGCTCCAGACTCTGAGCTAGCTGTCAGCACAGAGCCCGATGCAGGGCTCAAACCCACGAACCATGAGATCATGACCTGAGCTGAAGTTGGATGCTTAACCGACTGAGCCACCCAGGCACCTCCCCAAATAGAAAGGTTTTGTACAGCAAAGGAAAACCACCAACAAAACGAAAAGGCAACCTAGTGAATGGGAGAGATTTGCAAATGATATATCTGATAAGGGGTTAATATCCAAAATATATAAAGAACTTCTACAACTTAACAACAACAAAAAGTCAAACAATCTGATTGAAAAACAGACTGGGGCACCTGGGCAGCTCAGTCAGTTAAGCATCTGACTCGATTTCAGCTCAGGTCATGACCTCATGGTTTGTGAGAACAAGCCCTGTGTCAAGCTCTGAACTGACAGTGTGGAGCCTCCTTGGGATTTTCCCTCTCCCTCTCTCTTTGCCCTCCACCCCCCTCCCCGCTCTCTCTCAAAATAAATAAACTTAAAGAAATGGGTAAACTACCTGAATAGTCATTTTTCCATAGAAGACCTACAGATGGCAAACAGATACATGAAAAGATGCTCAACATCACTAATCATATGGAAATACAAATTGAAACCACAATGAGATATCCCCTCGCACCAGTCAGGATGGCTAGTGTCAAAGCGACAAGTGTTGGTGAGGATATGGAGAAAAGGGAACCGTTATACACTGTTGGTGGGAATATAAATTGGTGTGGTCACTGTGGAAAACAGTATGGAGGTTCCTCAGAAAATTAAAAATATGATCCAGTGATTCCACTACTAGGATCAGCATCTATGAAATAAATGATATCTGGATCTTGAGATGGGGCGGGTGGGGGAAGCAAGCATAATTTTAAGTGTTAAGCTTCACATCCAAACATTATTAAAAATCCCTTTTCCAGTATTTGCTATATTCTCTTCATGTTTATGATAAATAAAGTATAAAGCAACATAAAAAATAAAGGAGGGGATCCTAAGCATATATAGAGAGGATATATATATATATCTCGTATATGCTGATCCTCAGCTGGCCATGATGATTATACCTGGGATGGCAATGGGTGATATAACAGCAACAGTTGTGGCCAAGGAGAAATGCGGGATGTGCAGCAGTACAACATAGCACGTCTCTGGGAGGTTGGGGAGGGACAACTTCTTTGTAGCAACAAACAGATGATGCCTGTCAGGCAAGATTAAGATGTCATACTTTATGTATGTAAATTTTCTTTTAAAAATTTCTAAATTATAAAAATTATACAAATTTTAAAAATTGTAACATTTTACATTTTAAGTATAACATTTTAAGTAATATTTCTTTTATGAGTAGAAACAAAACCATGTTTATAATGGGAAAAATGGAAAATAAATGAAATACAGAAAAGAATAAAAAACTGTAATTTTACTTTTTAGAGATAATTGATTAACATTTTGGGGATTTTTCTTTTGTTTTGGTATGTTTTTTGCAGACTATATCACACATGGATGTAATATGAGTAGGTATGTGACATACGTACTTAAATTGAGATCAAACTATGTATTTTATAATATGCTTTTGAAAAAAATTTTTTAACATTTATTCACTTTTGAGAGACAGAGAGACACAGAGCATTAGCAGGAGAGAGGCAGAGAAAGAGGGAGACACAGAATCTGAACTGTCAGCACAGGCTCCAGGCTCTGAACTGTCAGCACAGAGCCTGACACAGGGCTTGAACTCACGGACTGTGAGATCATGACCTGAGCCAAAGTTGGACACCCAACCAACTGAGCCACCCAGGAGCCCCTAAGTTGTTTTTTAAAAAACCTAATAGATCCTGAGCATACTACGTATTTTAAATATGTATAAATATGTATAAATGTTTCTAAATATGTATTATGTGTGACATACATATTTAAATTGAGATCAAACTATGTATTTTATAAGTTGCTTTTTAAAAAACCTAATAGATCCTGAACATACTAAGTATTTTTAAGTAATTATTTAATTACAGAATCAATTAAGTATTCACTTGTAACACATTTTTTAATGTTTGCATGAAATTCTGTCATTTAGATGAAGCAGAATTTCTCTAGTCAATTTCTCACTTTTAAACAGTGAGTAAATTTTAGTACAATACTATTTTTTTGAAAAATTCTACCTAGATTAGTTCAGTATTCCATAGTATTATACATAATACCATTTTTTTCACCATTGGTTTACTTTATTTATTTATTTATTTAATTTTTGAGAGTCAGAGAGAGACAGCACCAATCATTTCTGTCCTTAAATTATATACTTTCTAAGGCCTGGGTAGGTACATGGCCTATGACTAAAGATCCAGTAAACTTGACTATTGTCTCCTTCCCTGTGGACTGTATGTAATACTCCACACATTACACTGAAAGTATGATTTAGTGGAGATCTCTTGATGGCAGAACTCTAGCCACAAACATTAATAAAGGCAGTTGTTATACAATCCAGGAAGAGCTTGGCATAATCAAGGTAGGATAGCAGGCCTATTGCTGGAGAGATTTTGGGAAGAGATCATAGTAGAAGGCTGGTTGCCCAACACTGGGGAGAGAAGGGTTGAGCTGTAACTCATAGACATTGTGGTCCTCTAGGTAACACCTCTGGAGGTCTTGGGTTTGATTGGCCACCTGGTATTTGGGAGATGGGTGCCCTAAATTAACCAAGAAGTTCCTAGACAGAGGCCATTCATTCACTCCTTAGTTTATTCCCTGTTGAGGTAAGAACTTGGGATAAGACAGAGTTGCAGTAGAATCAGTTTGGGGGAACTGAGGAAGGCACTCATGGTGGATGTTATAAGTGACTATCTATATCTTCTCATTTTCATGTTTCTGGTATTCTCCCTCATGACAGTCTTGTATCTTAACTTTCTTCTGGTCTTTTCAAGATAGTTGATGTCTACCTTTTGGTTTCACATGTTTTTTTTTTTTCCTCTCAATTCACAAAGATTTTTAATAAAAAGAAAAAAACATATTGCAGAATTTCTTTTTAAGCCTTTTGACTAATTTCTTTTCTTTTTTTTTTAAGTTTATTTATTTATTTGAGAGAGAGAGAGAGAGAGAGAGCAAGCAGGAGAGGAGCAGAGAGAGAGAGGAAGAGAGACAATCCCAAGCAGGTTCCATGCTGTCAGTGCAGAGCCCAGTGTTGGGCTTAAACTCCCCAACAGCAAGATCATGACCTGAACTGAAATCAAGAGTTGGAGGCTAAACTGATTGAGCCACCCAGGCTCCCCCTTTTGATTAATTTCTGAGCAGAATTTGGTAGAGAGATAGAAGGCACACTGATAGAATCCCATTTTCTGTCTCACTTTCACAATTAATCAGATGGATATTTTAAATTTGTTTTTCCTTAAGAGCAATATTGTGTGAAGATTAATGAGCTTATGTACAGGAACTGCTTTGTGTTAATTATGAAAACTTTTAATACGATTTTATGAGAGTTCTTCCATCTCTGGTTTGAACATCGCAGTGCCACCTTCACAGCTGTCAAGGTACCTTCAATTTATGCCTGCAATCATTATCTTTCTTCTTTTTATTTTACAATGGAAATGAATTTATTCTCTGAAAATACAGAATCATTATAAAAACCTTCAAACAGTACGCAGAAACAAAGTCCCAGCTAGCCTATTTAT